TAACAATTACCTAAAGCTTCGCTTAACAAAATAACATAAATATTACAGCAAGTAGCGGTTCTTTAAATGGCCCTATTTTTGAACAACAATTTGATATTTCTAATATCAATTCATGGCAAAGCAACTAGATATGTGTAAGTTGTATGTTAAAGCAGTAAAATAAAATAAAACAGTATATCGTTCTACATTCATATGGATATGAGTGTTTCCATATTTAAACGATTCTAACGGTACAACGAAGCCTTACTTTGAATGCATGATGGCAACCACAATATAAAATGACAACAACATCGCATTTCTTGAAGGAATATTTACATTTCATAATAATTCTACGCATTCGTAGAAGGTGTGAAAATATTTTCTCGGAATAAATATTCTTTAAAGGGTAACTGCTGATCAAACGTGCTTCATTTGACGTAATAGGGAGTTCAATTGTATCTACAGTCATTGGAAAATAAAATTTTCCAAAATAACCGCCAGGTAAATCATAGAAAACACTTAACTTAATAAAAGTATTTCAGGCTACTTTTAAGGTAACCATATGGGTAAGTGAAAATGCTACATAAAAAAGGAATATGATGCAATGTATGTGCATGTACTGAACAAAGTAGTAGAGTTCTGAACGTAAGGATCAAAGAACATAAATACAGTACCTGATATAAATAAACCCAATTGTGCTTAGATAAATTGTTTTTGAAAGTACGTACGTTAGGTTTTTTTAATAATGCTAGGTTTTATGTAAATTCTAAAGGTACATACACGACTAATTTATGTTTGAAAAATTAGATCCCAATTTCGACTACTTTCTGATCTGAATTTTCAATACTTTTTGCTAGTCATTTAAACAGGAAGTAAAGCTATCGTAAATAATTCCGTGTATGTTATTGGGAGATTTCTTCTTTCACAAAAAGCTCTTTCATTTCGAAAAATTATAAGGCGTTTTCCAATTGTTTCTGTAGTCCTGCATCTGTCTAATTTTTCCTGATATATACCCGTATGTATCACACTTTAGTTTGAAACTTTTGTCTATGACTTTTATAGTATAAATCTTCTTTGAAGATATGTAAGATCATAATGAGTTGAATTGGAAATTCACTGACTGATCTTCAGAAATATTTTCACGGTAAATTAACTGATATTTTTTATTTAATACGTTTTGATTACATTCGAAATAAACCGATGAAAAAAATGTCTTATGCTTTCTTCTACGAAAATATTACTTCAACTTAACGTTTCGCTTGTGGGCTTAAGATATGGATTTTTGTTATTCGTTTTCTATGTTTTTTCATGTTTCATTCCTAAATTGAAAACAAGATTAAAATGAGAAAACGTTGTTGTTTTAAAATTGTTAACTGTAATATTATTATTTTAGTTAAATCAAAGCTTTATGTGTACTGCTTTGTACTAGATGATTACTTTGCTTTTTCATTATAGTTTCATTACGATTTGAGATTATCTTCAATATTTAAAGTGTTAAAAATTATTAAAAAAATCCACTAAGAGATATTTCGTGGTAATTTTTGTTCAAGGAAGGTGATAAGGTATTAAATATTTTGAGTGATCTATGCCCTTTTTTTTTAATTTTAATAATGAGTTGTTTGTACTGATGTTGTCCTAATTTGGTTGGAGTTGCTTCCTAACGTTTCGCCAGCACGATGGCTAACTTCTTCAGACGATGCTGGATGTCCACAAGGACCTCTGAAGAAGTTCGCCACTCTTGTTAGCGAAACGTTAGGAAACAACTGTAACCGATGATGACTTTCAGATGCGAATCACGACAGCGTCAGTACATCTACTGACTGACTAAAAATGTTATTAAAAATATAATTGCATGACGGCTTTGTAGGGCTTTGAATCGTGAGCGGTAATCCCTGCGTGGTGATATTGGAGCATGTAAAAAATGCCGGTTAGAAATTAGTAAGGTATTAGTAAAGGTACGCGAATGGAAATCAATAAGAAATAGGCGGGATAAGTTCATACCTTCTCAAATATGAAGGGTTAGAAGCAGAAACAGGAGGTAAATCCTAATTAGATTAGTGTTTGTACTTATTTTAATATATGACCAGGTACGGGATAATTATACCAGGTATTCGGCAGTGTTGGTTAACTTTACCAGGGGAAAAAAAAGACAAATACCGTGAATAATAATTTATTAAGTATAACAAAAGAACTACCTAATGAAAATTGGTAATTAAGATTGTATTGGGATAGGTCGTTTTTCCTAAATTCTATTATTAATTGATTAATGTACTAAATTATTTGTTATTTCGATTTTGTTCTCGTATAATTTACTATTTCTAATGAACAGGAATAAATCAGTATGGTTTAAGTGTGCTAAAATTTCTGTGTTTCTGTCGCTTGTTGAGATAACAGGTTTTGATTAGCGATTAGTATGATTTTGTCACCTTGCAGACTTTTAGTGTTGAACGGTTTCAACTCGACCATCTCGTTGAAAATCCGCCAACCAGGAATTAAAATTTCATTGGTTTAGTGTTTAAACGGCTTTTTGAACGTGAGTTAATGTGGATTGGGACATTGGTGAGGGTGATATTTAATAAAAAGCTCGGTAGGTACCGACAAAATCACTATCAGGTGCTTCTCTAGTATTTATCTCTGGTTGTTGGCAAATTTGGAGATTGATTCAAGATAGGAAAAAGTAAAGATAATGCTTTCTAGGGATATTTCCCATAATTAAAATATTTGTTACCTACATATGTAGGTATGTAAATTTAAAAAAAGTTTTGCTTAATATATTTTTATTGGAATTAAAACTATTTAACTAAATAAGTGATAATGTGGGTGGAAGCGAGTTTTAGATCTTTGCTTTTTGATGTTTGATTTTCTGCCAAATGGCAAATTGTGGTTAAAATTAGATTAATATCTTCAATGTACCTATAAGTAAAAGCATGGCGTGTAAATATTGATTAAACCGAATGTTTGAACTGATTAACTACCTTTTATCAACAAGATTGACTTGCACAGTTTGAATACAAAAGCTAATTCGCCTTTATTGCTTTTTGCAATAAGCAGTCACATTAAAGCAATTACACACTTTCGTATGATGTTTATTGTTTCATTTAATTATAGTTTTATATTTTATTACAAAAATAGGTCGTATTATACGATGTCCTCTTTTATCGGGTAAAAGGTCATGTATTTTTTAAAACAATTTCCTTTGACAATGAACTAAAAATTATTATAAGAATACTTTGTTAGTATAAGCACCTGAAGGTTGCATAGTATCATTGGTCGCTCGTAAGTAAATATGTGTTAGAATATCAACAAGGAATACTTGTATTTATGTACGAACATTTATATGCACGAATATTATAAGTAAAAATTTAAAAGATAGTAAAATTTGAGTCAACCTGGAAATAACTGTAGTTGGATATCAGCATGTTTTACATGTTTATCAGCAACTGGTATAATTTACCGGTAGCAGTTTGTAGTATGATAAAACAAATTGTTATCAGTACGTTTTAATTAATGAGTGCATATTTTCAGTGGGGCGCTGTTATAAATTATTATTATCACACGTAAATTATTACAATGGCACATTAAATAAACGAGTTTTTCTTACTCATCAAAAATTTCTTGAATATGTACAAATGTTAGGGAATAGGCATCTATTATCTAGAAAAATAATACAGTTTCCGAGGGATAAAAAAATTTGTTTTATGTGGTCGATTTCATGCCTTAATTACACCACCGATGGTCATGAAATTTTGCACGCAATTTGTCAGGGGTAGAGAAAAGGACATAGGGTATCTTTTATCCATAAAAATAATACAGTTTCCGAGGGATAAAAAAATTAGTTTTATGTGGTCGATTTCACCCCTTAACTACACCACCAATCGTCATGAAATTTTGCACTCAAATTGTTAGGGGTACAGAAAAGGACATAGGGTATCTAATATCCAGAAAAAGAATACTGTTCCCGAGGGAGAGAAGAATTAGTTCTATGTGCTTGTTGACGATTTTTGGCAATTATTTAGGACATAAACGCGGGTAAAATCTAGTTACCTATAAAGAGTTAAGCCACCTGCTAAAACTATACAAGAGAATTGGGTTTTATAATTCAACGATTACGGCTTTATGGTCGGTAAAGGTCCTCTGCACTGTTTAAAATTAGGGTCGTCTGATTCTAAGGGCGCAACAGCTCTGGGACGATTATTTTTATGAAATTAAATTGACAATTTTAAAAGGTTTGAAAAACGCTGCCCTTGAAGGTGCACTTATGATAATTAGTTAGTTAAAACTTACCTAAAGCGGCCACGCATAGTAAGGCATTCACTTTTACATTACATGTAAACGAGGAAATTAAATAAAATAAATAATTTTTCATGTTTCTAGAATTTATTGTAACATATATCATATATATGCTGTATGGAATCAAGAGATTTCTGTGGCAAATATTGAGAAAGAAAGATTGTTTTTATCATGTTTTCAAACACTTTCACGTGTTGATGGGGCCGATGTTGTAAACGTCGTAAATAAATCATTAATTTGAATGATTTGCACTGCAATAATAAACTAACGATCTTGACCAATTAAATCGTTATGATGTAACTAAACCGATTTTTTCAACTTCAACTTTATTTAACAATTACCGCCTATTATTATTATTATTAAAAGCCTTGACTTTCTGCCACAACAAATATCTGGTCTGTTAGCAATAATAACAGACGTGAAAATTACTTTAGATGAAATAAATTTTAACAAAACATTAGGCCAGTTTTGACCCGCAACTTCATCTGCTTGAAACAATTTGTAATTGTTTATAATAAATACAATTATTATAAACAAAAGGCAATTAAAATAAATTAGCCCAGATCACTGCTGACAACCTGCTATGCTCGTCTACTATAAGGTTTTATGGAAAGCGGTTCAGCCGTTTGCAAGATTTGTCCGTATAGACAAACAGACAGACAGACAGACAAACTGACAAAAATATAAGATTTGATGATAAAAGATATTTATATACATAGACATAGACTCACTTGATAACAGTCTGTTTTACATCTGTGGTCATCGTGGACTTTTCCTTCGAACTTTCCCGGTCACTAATTTAGGAAATTGGCACTGATCTCGTTCACGTGGTGATCTTCCTTTTATGAATGAGTAAAAAAATTAAAAAAAAAAGATTTAGATGTTCTTTTGCATGGTCCACACTAGGCGCGATCGACGTGAATGATGTTTCTTCGTCGCGGAGTTTCAATTTTAGATTTTGATGGAAAAGGAAAAATGCGTCAACCACGGTTAGCAAACAGGCAAAACTGTCTCTTCGTACTCGACTCTTTGAAGAGCGGAGCACCTGTAGTCGTTTGCCAAATATCCTGCCGTTGATATAAACTTTCTAAGTGCCTGTAGAATGTTGTTGTATGCGTTCCCCACTCTAAACACAACACAACACAACACTCTCTTACACGTCGATGCACCTTGTTTTCCGCTTAAAAAGAATATTCTTTTTTTCTTTTCGTTTTCCTTCTTTATTTTTCTTTCTAGTTACCTTGCCAGTTTGCCTCATCTAATATTACTTCGAAAGTTTGTCGCGCGCATGATAATCGACAGTTTGTGTACTCTCGCGGCGTTATCGGTCGCCGAAGATCGAAGATGAAAAATAATACTCTTTTTCATCAAAAAAATATCTGAGAAAACGCTCGACTTAAACAACGTCAGGTATACTTCTGTTTTCACGAATCGGAAATGGATCGGTTCGATGACCCGGAAAAGCACCTGATACCGACCCATTTTGATCTTGTGAGTAACATAGCTTACATGTTGACAATAGACGCACTTTTGTAAGGTGCAAGTCTATATCCTTAGGGCGTTTTCACACGATACCAAATATTCATCATCATAAGGTCGTCAGTCCGTCAGGCTGGTTGGACCTTATGTCCCGAGCTAATCTTCGCATTTCTCAAAAACTAGAACAGCGTACATCCTTAACTATTTGCGAACAGTAATCTAATATAGCTCTACCTCTACCACTCATAACTCCCATTTCTGCTTCTAATATGTCTCTCACTAGACCTTCATACCTGAGAAGGTGTCCTACTAATCTCGATTATTTCTCATTGACTTTCCATAGAGTCCTCTGTTCTCCTGTTCTTCTAATACCTCTTCATTTCTAACCTTTCCTATCCACGGTAACACCACATTTCGAACGCATCTAACCTTTTCTTTTCCGCGGCGCACACCGTCCATGTTTTGCACCCGTACAGCGCCGCGCTCCTAACATACACTGTAACAATCTTTATCGAATTTCTAATTTATACAATATCGCAGGCTGTAATTGTTAAATGGTTTCGATACATTTTATACGCGGCCACGATATCATAAAAATGTTGATAAGTAATGGAGCTACATCGCAAATCAACGAAATATATATTGCACTATATTTAGTCTTTGAGTTTGTAATAATTTAACGCAAGGTTATGCCTCTTTTCACACAGCAATTAACTATCACTTATCAACATTTTTATGGTATCGTATTCTCGCATAAACCATTTATAACGCGCGTTGTATATACCGCCGTGTGAAAGCACCCTTACGGTGTCCCTGATAGTAGACATCCACGCATTTCTTTAACAATTGGAAATGAATGTCTGTTTGTTTTCATCTGATTTGAGATGGTTGAGTAAAGACGCAAAAAATCTGATACCTAGGTATATGTATTAATCGAAGTCTTAAAAATGAGAGCTTTTCTGGAGTCCGCTTCTTTTTTACCCAAATGTTTTGCTATTTTTAGATTCTATAGCTAATAGAAGGGTATGTTGTCTGGCTGCATAATCGTAATTAATGTTATATTATCTGAGGCTAGTGTGGTTTATTCAGACAAAAAAACATTTTTGTGTAACTGTTTTACCTATTAAAATTTGGCAAGATGCCTAATTTTTTTTAAAAGTGTAAACAGGCCTTAAACAATATTACTAAAGTTGGATATTTTGAGTTTAGGAAGTTTATAAAATAGTAGTAAAAAAAAACATGATAAAAACAATAATCAATAATAAATCAATAAGTTATACATTTATATATTTCAAATTTTCTTAATTTGTAATTGAATTTTGTTAAAACTTTATCTTTTCTATGCNCAGCGCCATTTGTTGTATTTTCTATCTATGGAGCATTATTACCGCTGTAGCATTTACCTAAAAGATCCAAGTAAATTACAGAAAAACTTGGATTAGGGCAGACGGACCTTCGTGTTTGAGGTATCCTACCAACCTATATCGCCTATTTCTTATTGCCTTCCGTAGAGTCCCTTGTTCTTCTATTTTTTCTAATACCTCTTCATTTCCAATCTTCTCTATCCACGGTATCTTCATCATTCGCCTGAAACACCACATTTCGAACGGTACTAACATTTTCTTGTCCGCGGCGCCCACCGTCCATGTTTCGCACCCGTACGTTTGTTTATCTCAGAAATTAATTTTTTAATGTCATAAAAGATGGTAATAAAAAATAAAAGATGCGCACATTTTTTAGTATCTATTTATTGGGTGACGTACATAAATATAAATTTTATTCAGAAATGGAAGGTTAACCACAAAATTGCATATGTTATGCAAAAAGGAATGAGGATTATTATTAATATTTCATTAGTATTCAGATATTACAGAAATAAAGCAGTATTTTATAATATGGATTATTTTATGTTAGGATCTGAGTACCTGTAGTGAGGCCAGTTTGAGAAGGCAAAGTCTGCACTAAAATACTCGACTAGAATAGAACTATTCTGAAGCCTGCAATACAAAATGTAATTATAGTATAAAGTAATTAATAAATTCGATCCTTTTTCGCTTTTTCTAATTTGTTTCGACAGCTCTATTGCGTAAAATAATATAGTAAAGTAGTCCTTTTCTAGCTCGATAATTTATTGCAGAGTTTGCCTTCTAAAATTGCCTCGATTACGGATACATTTTGAATTTATCAATTCTGGTGGCAGTCATTCAATCCTTATTTGAAAAGGATGCACATCAAATACTTAAGAAACCAGAAATGGTTTTACGACAAACTCTTATTATTTTCTTCATTTCCTTTTCTTTCCAATACAAAATTTCAAACATTAATCTTGCAATATCAGCATCTCTTTATGATCCCTTTCTTTAATCTTTAGCTTTTGAAGGACAACGTAAAGGGTAATTTTCGTATACACCTACCTCAATTTTAGGATAGAATATCGAAATATGAAAGGGGCAAATATAAGATTCAAAATCAAATAAAACCGCATTTGTATGTAAGAAAAAATGTGGTTTTACCTATATATTTTTATTTAGTTTTAAAGTAGTCAATCCGACTTTTTATTTTTGGCTTATAAACAATCTTTTTTCTTCTTTTGAGAATTTTAAAATGATAAATTCTTTTAGGAATTTTAAGTTTTTATCTAGTAGTTGACTTTACTATTCAAAGACCTGCTGGACTACCTGCAATTCGTTAATATTCAATATAAAGTTGTATATTCACTTAATACCTTGAATTTTCTACACTAAATTTTCGCTCTATTTATTTACCAAAGTGCGCGAATGTTGATATGAATAAATTGATTTTAGTTTACATCTATCGACATTCGACTTGCACAAAAATTTTAGCATTTTTACTGTTCTGCTAGAAAGTATGTCAAGCTTCAGTCACTTAAATGCTATGCCCTAAAAGTGGATTCATATACGTTTGTTTTCATTAAAAAAACTGATTGCTCAAGCACCTAAACGAAATATTAATAAGCAATGTAATACATGAAATTATTATGCCCACTGGGTACTAAAGATATTTATCTCATAAGTACATAGATTAATATTTATATAAAGAGTTTTAGCAATAGTGAAAATAAAAACAAAATCATCAGAATTTTTCATGGTATCCACGAACAAATCGTCTAGTTTGGTCTTTAGAAAAGAAATATATTTCCATGTGGATATGGTTTAAAATACAATTATTAATTTAATTGATTGCCGATAGAATTTTATTTAACTATATGTGTCAAGATTTATGTGATTGTCGTTTCGAATCCTGCCTGAGAACTGTAGGTCATTAATCCTGAGGTAGTTGCTAGACCTTTCTAATGGTTCAGTGACAATTCTCTTCATAAAAATTGTAGTGACGAAATCATTAACCCTGCTGACAATAATTTAAATTAAATTATTTAATAAATTATTTCACTTTTATGGGGGTTATCTCTCATGCATTTTTACTTAACGAATTCAACAGATTTTTTTTATTTTACGTAAAAGTGTTTAGGTCTTTTAGTTATTTCTTCTTCTACTACTACCTTTTTCTTTCTTCTTTTTTACCTGTTGTCCTTGATGTGCGTAACGTAGTGAATAGTGATTAGGAATTTAGATTAATAAGGTTTGTAAGTACGTTCAAAGGACGATATACATTTTGTAAAACACAGGTCAAGAATAGTAATAGATGTTTAACTTAATGTATTCATATCATTCCACCCCCACTACCCCTCTAGACTGTCACTATAAACTTTAAATATTTTCTTCTCATAAATATTTAATTGGTAGTTTTATAATCGCTCGTAGAATCAAACAAAGATTGTGGTGTGACAGCAAGATTGAACTGCTACCTTTAAAGTTATCTTCACGTCTGTCCTTAGATAGTGAACATCAGAACCTTTACAAAATTTTAATTGCCAATTTTGATTTAGTCAGTCTTTGAATTGCGGGCCCTACATAACAGCTAGCCAATTAAATAAAATTTTGTGTGTTATAAGTTTTAGTACAACTATTTAATTATTAGTTATTCCTTATGTAGGATAACAGACTGGTTAGACACGTACCTCTACTCTTACCTATCCTGAGCTAATCTTCATATTTCCTTAAAACAAAAACAACCTTCATCCTTAACTATTTGCGAACAGTAATCCTAACTCCCGTTTCTGTCTCTGACCAGACCTTCATGCCTGAGAAGGTGTCCTACTAACCTATCTCGCCTATTTCTTATTGACTTCCATAGAGTCCTCTATTCTCCTATTCTTTCTAATACCTCTTCATTTCTAACCTTCTCTATCCACGGTATCCTCATCATTCGCCTGTAACACCACATTTCGAACGCTTCTAACCTTTTCTTTTCCGC